CGCTGACAAGAATGGAAGGGCAAACACTCTTTTATTTAATAAAGGTGACTTAGTCCTACTGTCTACGGTTAATCTACCAAAGCATGTAGTGACTAACTTGGGTAGCAGTAAACTACTACCCAAGTACATTGGCCCATTTCGTGTATTGCACCGCCTAGGCAATGCATACACGATCGAGTTACCACGTAAGATGCGAACGCATCCCACGTTTTACGTTGGTCGGCTTAAGCCGTACCATCAGTACGCTGCTTCTTCCGATGAAGAACGCCCTTGCGCTCAAGCATCTCGCAGAGAGCCTTGTGCTCCCGATGGTGGGCATCAACAAGGGTCTGAAGAGCAGCTATCTGATCCCGAGACCGATCAACAATCCCACGAGCTACCCTTAGCTCGTCACGAAGAGATGTCAGAGCTCTCTCGTTCTCAAGCTGAGCAAAGGCAAACTCAGCTCGATGCTTCGAGGCAGTGTCCACCATCTGGAGACGCCTATTCCGCTCATGCTCGAGATCGTCGCGTAACCCTTGCGTTACGCGATCAAAGAAGCTCTCGGGAACACACCGATCCACATGATCGTGTGGAGAGCGTCTTTCCTCCTCCTCCACCTCCATTAGAGGACTCTCGCGGTGGCCAGCGCTATCTAGTTGAGCAGCTGTTGAACCACCGCGACGTGAACGGACGTCGGACGAGTTACCTCGTCCGGTGGCGCGGCTATCCCCCGTCCTGGGATTCTTGGGAGCCCCGCTCCCAATTGATGGTTGACGTACTGGGTCTGGTCGAGCAGTACGACGCGGCACATCCTGTGCCGCAGAAGGACCGCCGGAGAAAGTCTTCCCGGCACGGTCGTAAAGGGATTTCAGGTTGTCAATCCCTTCGTACATCTCAGTAGAGACACGTACGCGCCACCACGGGCTGGTAAGGAGGTAAGCCTCCTTAGGTGCTCGTGCAGAGTTGTTCACACAACATGGGCACGAGTCTCCCCAAGAGAGGCAGGGGTAATCCTTTCTCCCTTGACAGACGATGCAGCTTGTAGCGTGCACCTGTGGGGGTTCGCTTTTCAAACTTATCACGAGCTTTGATAAGTTTGTCGTTCCAAGCGTCACGACCTACATCCTCGAGGTTATGGATGTAGGCGTTCCACGCCTGAAGTAGTGAGGGACCATCACGTTTGTGATTCCCACTGTACCATCGATGTCTGAAGAAAGCATCGATGAAGAACTCATGTTCAGCGCGATAGTCTTTCGCGCTGGGGTCAAGGTGATGGATCCTTGACGAATCGAACAATCGTGTTCGATAACGATCACTCGTCGTCGCCGACAAGTGATCCATGACGGATTTTGGAGGCATCCATGCCTTCTTTTCTGGAGCGAGACGCAACACATTGCGGTCCCGCTCTTCCTGCGACGTGCCGACAGAAGTACTGGCACCTCGCTGTGAAGTGGTGTCCATTGGAGAACCGACACCACTATTAGCGCCCGAATCTCGCGACCTCGAGCGCCTTCGCTTCGGCGATGGTTCATCTGACTCATCAGATGAACCAAAGATGCTGCGACGCAAAGCATCGTCCATGCCACGCTTGGCAGGCGGCTTAGATTCAATCGCCGTCGATACGGATCCGTCATCCGTATCAGGAGAGTACGAGACACCGAGCTCGTACTCTGTGAAGACACGAGTGTCTTCATGACCAGCGCCTGCGTCACCAAGTGACACAGGCTGGGTCTCTTCAGCAACCGATGGGACATCAGTTGCTGTTGTTTTCTGCTTCGGCGTCCGCACAGAGACGTGCAGACGCGCTCTCGGCGGCCTTGCTCGCGCATCGCATGGGCTTGTTTACCATGCGATGAAATGTTGGAAAGTGGACGCGGACCAACAAGTGCAAACCCTGTCCCAAATGATTTGGGACGAGTATCCATTTAGTCAATCAGTCACTAAAGTGACTGATGGTTAAGGGGGGGTGATGTAACGGGGTGAATCGTTACACAACAATTTATAAGAAATTGTTTTAGAATATAACTATAAGAGTTATATTCTCAGAATATTGTCATAAGGACAAATATTCTGTAGCACTTACAAGTAGTTCCTAATTGGTTGATATAGGCCATTATATCAACCAACGAAGACGCGCCACGACAGACGCACGCAATGAGTGGTGAGCAGATAACTGATTTACACATTTGTATTTAGACATAGTTAGATGAAGATAAATAGTGATTTATTGCAGACATTAACTATTATAAATACAGTTCTACTTTTTACTCTAACCAAGTACTCGCTTCTTCTTACCGTCTTCCTCTGCACGTACGAGTGTACGTGAAGTTACGAGGCACCGCCTTATTCTGTTATCAGAATAAGTAGCTTGTACTGTCACCAGTACAAGCTTCAGGGTGCCCCGTTACATAGGCGGGTGCGAGTGGCGCAATCGTTGAGCTCGCTATTCGAGCCATTTAGGCCACAACAAGGTGGGAGAAACAACAGGCTTGGCAGATAACACCACTCTATGCGCCGACGCCAGCCCGTGAATACGAGCATGTGCCCGGACCATCACCGCCAGTGCAACTGGCACCGATGCAGAGCTACTCATGCGCACAACGGACGCGCATCGACGAAAGCTCGAGAATTGAAAGTTTGACGGCAGTGAGCACTACCAGAGCATCAGCTTTGGATTCTTGGACTGGGGGAGAATGTTCCTTCGGCAAGTGTTGATGGCCTGACAAGCGTTTGGCTTCACATGGGCGGACGATTTAAATTAGATCTACCTAGCACTATCTCGTAGGCATGGCCGAACGCTATTACCAGCAACAAGTTGATGCCCGGTGGCCTTAAGACGCAAAACTCAACCACGCGATGTATTGACTGCTACACACGTTTATAACAGCTATTACAGCGTCGCATATCACGAAGATCTTCATGGCGTGAAATGACTCGAAACGTTCCTATCCGGAGGATTTTAGTATCTGGTCGCCGTATGCGACGCGTGCGGTTGATGTGCCGCAGAGTAGGTACTGGACAACGTTGTTCAATATGCGTCAAGCGAGCTCAGTACCGTGGCCGTTAACAACAGGAGGCACGACCACTTACAAAAGCGGAGGATCTGAAACTCTTTGCCCAAGCACTTCATTTCAATAAAAAGACCAGGCAAACACTCAGCCACGAAGTCGTTGTGGCAGTTGCAGACGGCGACACGTAGAAGGAGACTCGCTCGTGCTGCACCTGTGGAGGAAAGGACGCTTGTAGATCGACTGCAAACTTAAGAAGAAGACAAAGGAAAAGCACGACGATAGTTGCAGCGGGGACGAGGTCATCTTCATGGTGCAAGACGGCAATTGTGACGACTGGGGACTGTACAGTGGCGCGAGCTATTGCCTCCTCAATAATAAGTAGATGTAGATGAATTAAAAGACTGATGTGGTAAGGTGGTACTTGTAGACGATAAGAGGCTTGTGCTGATGAAGGTCGGCGAAGTACGACTATTTATGACCGTCAAAGACAGCGAGAGCACTACGATAATCACGAACGTGTGCTTTGTACCGAGTCTACGCGCAACATCGTAAGATACATAATTATTGATGCGGTTTACTACGCGTTAACGTACGCGTACGAAATCTTGTTGTTGCGCGCTGTATCACCGATCGTGTCGTGTGTGACCTTTAGGTACAGAACAGAATTCTAGTCGTCACGTCTGCGAGGATAAAAGAGCAAGTTGACATAACTGCTCTACAAAACGAGATGGCGGCTTACACTTCGCCGAAAATACATCGTGGCTAGCTCCTCCACTTTATAAACGCTTGAGTCACCTTTCATCCAACAAGATCGAGAATTTCACCAAGAACCCGAACATAGGCATCGAACTCACGGATCACAAGCGCATGACGTGCATTACTTGTGCCCAGATCAAGCAGACCAAGAAAAGCATAGCCAGAAGTACCAGGGTCAGAATGCTCGGTTCCATCACATCGGAAGCGTCATTTGTCAGACCTTAAGAATCCTCTGACGCGAGCAGATCGGCTTCAAAACTGGTATTTGATCCATTTATTTAATTGAAAAAGCAATTACCGTCGGTTGTTCTTGGCGCGCACGAAGGATGCTGCTGCGAAGAATTCAACTCCTTCATGTCCTTCTTTGAAAGGCAGTTCAATTGTGACATCGCCGTCATCATGACCAACGTTGGGGGGTACTAGAATGTGAATCCATTCTGCAAGACTGCAGGTGTTGCGAGACAAGTGAGCAAGGCCAAGAACCTGACCTTCAAGGGTAAGGGTTAGATGATGCATCGTGCAATCCTCAATATGACCAAAGCGATGACATTCGCGTCAGGTATACTACTCACTTTTTTTGAAAATGCGGAGGAGCAAATAACATAAATGTCAACTAGAGTCCCACGAAATCAAATCCGAAGCGAGCCCCTTCACTAAAGTACTCAAGGGCCATGCGTCCGATTCGCACAACGTCGTCGTGTTTTAAGTTGCAATGCACTCTCTGCCGTGACCCGTCGAAGAAGTCTGCGCGTCAACCTCAAGTCGTCACGACCCCCGGTTGCAGCAATAAAACAAAGAATTTTAGGGTCTACTTGAATTGAGACAACAAATTTATCACGAGGCAACATGTGAAAAGCACCGAGACGCTGACCAAAGTGTAAGACTGACAGCTGCATCTTGAACTTGATGACAAAGATCGCGCGGACGCTGACGACGGCGCGCCAGCTCAGACAAAGTAGCAGCATTTAAGAAGGACAAGAGCCGGTAAACACGGCAGCTGCATTTGACACGCGGAGCTACAAAGAAGGCGACAAGGAGCCAAGAAGAAGCAGTGAGCAATTGCGATGTCGTTTGTCATGTTTTCGAGCGAGACCCACTGATTTAAGCGGATGTGGTGAAGAGCTTCAAGTACTAAGAGTCGAAGGTCGCGATGCGCGAGGAAAACAGCTCTCTTAATGCAAACGACGCGTGGTTTTTGGCGCGACGCTCGAGCCACAGCAACGTGCTCCACAACAAGTCTTTAAGACCAAAATGACTGCTGACAAAGATCTAGGACGGCACAAGGCGCGTTTAGTGGCGTGTGGCAATAAGCCAGTGATAGACGTGCAATACACGCTTACGCTCGCCGCCTTCATGGACATGACGACAATGAAAGTGATCCTTGCACTCGCTGCGACTTAGTGCGTTATATTAAAGAATTTAACGTGTCTAATGACTGCGTGAAGGCGGACTAACAATAATATCTGAAGACCCTGATGCACGTCCCGTCCGCCATTACAATCAGCAAGTAAAACCTTAAGGAGCTCGGATTGATAAGCGATACCTAAGTCTTGCTCGAGATCAAAAAAAATTCTCAATGGGGTGAAACTGCTAGGGTGGCTATAAGAAATCTAGGTGGTGTACAAGCGTCTTGAGGAAAAAGACTTTACGCGGTGCAGCAGCGACTTGGTTTTGTACTACCAGCGTGAACCTGCCGACGTGGTGATCATTGGAGTCTACGTGGACGATCTGCTTGTGACTGGGACGACAATCGATTTGTAGGATGCGTTCTTTCTGTGCCTCAAGTGCCTCTCGATTAAGAATCTCAAGTATGTGTCGAAGTTCTTCGGCATGCTTGTCACTCACAGAAATGAGCCTAAGTACACAATCCATAATGATGAGGCAATTACCTGCATACTGCAGCAACACAGAATGGACGACACGAACGAAGTGCGAGCTACAATCGAAGCAGACTGCTAAAATATAGCGAGCGCGGTTAGCGACCTACTGTCAGTCGTGAGCGTGCCAGGATAGCCGAACGTCCGTGCGTTCCAGTGATTGGTGACCTTGCTGCTCCGGGTGACCAGAAACACGAGACCCGACGTGTCATTTGCGGTTTACAGGTCACTGTCCAAGAGCACACCCCGTGTACAAAGGACTGGATCTCACAAAGAAAGCATTTTGCTACGTGTTAGCAAGCAAGCGCTTAAGCTCCGCATAACAGCAATAACACAAGTGGACGCGCAGCCAACGATCGTCAGCTACAGTGATGCCGGCTATAGGGCAGAAGATTGGATCCAAAGTCCCTGAGTGGCTGCTTGGTGCTGCTTAATGAAACGGCCGTATGCTAATAATCGAAGTAAAGGCGGTGTGTCGCTGAATAATTACGTTGTAAGAATTCGGTGCGGAGTCAGAAGTCGGACGCGAGATGCTCGGCAAACGCGAGACACTCATCTAAATCGGCGTGACACTAATCTGCCTTTCACGGTGTATATTTACAATTAGGCGGCAAGGTTTGCAAGAAGCAGGAGAAGTAATATCAACGAAAGCAACGCAAATCGACGTTCGCATCATTACTTGTAAGACCAAGCGCGACGTAACATTTTTGGCGCCAGTCTACGTGAAGAGCGAGCTCATGCTCGATGACGGTTCCACTAAAGAACTTGACGCGATAAATCTGACCGAGTTGCGAAAGCAGCTCCAAAATTTAGCGGGGGGGATAAGTAGCATGGAGCCGTCGGCAAGGAGAAGTATTGAAGATCGACGGTGTGGCATGAGCACAGGCGCTGCACAGAGAGCCAGTGAGTCTTGACGTCTCGATGCTTAAAGAAGAAAAAGCAAAATGACGCATTGTTTATTTACGATATTACGTGTGCGTTCGTTAGGATCAGCGTGAAGCGGCGTGGACTGAAACGGCTGCCAGCAGATGACACGCGGCAAGCGCAGTAGGTAATGAAGTTAGTGCAAAAAATAGCGAGTTTAGGCAGGATCATACTTTCAAATCTCAGTTCCCTTTAAACCCATCTACTGCGCAAATCCTCGGATAATTACACTCTAAATATAATATCTCTTTCACGTCGCCTGCTGTAATCGGTGACTAAATTTGTTGTCTTTAAATTTTTTACCCTTAGCAACTTTCGTACCAGCACCAGTCCAGTAAATTGTTTTCAATCCCCTCCACGGACCATTGCGATCATCCCAAGGACCTTAAGTATGTGTGAAACCACTAAAGTCTCACTCGTTTTCACACGGTAACCCTGGTACCATTGATCTGTAGTCTCTCGAAGATGCATTTCATCTTCGACATCAAATCGTCGGGGGCCCTGAACTAGCTGTTTTCTCAACGTATCAAGTCAATAGCGGTCTTCCGGAAAGGGATGTGTAGGCCCCGACCCGAAGGGACATTTTTGGATTGTAATTTATATTAAATAACTGCAATGTACCATACAAACATCAAACAAGTTTCCTCAGCCTCCTCTCACATTCTTTCTAATCCAAATAAGAATTTCTTTTTAACACTTCCTCTGAGGCAGCAGTATCGAATGCCACCATGTTCTTCTTGCTTCTACCTCATCCATAGCGCAGATCTACTACGTCCATGGAATTGATCGGGTACAGCTGGGAATCTGACCGCACGTCCTAGGTTGCTACAATCCCAACCAGTGTGTAGTCGCGCGGAGATTTGAGACTCGCATCAAGAAACTTTAAATTGATGGAAGAAGCTATGCTACCTGCTACTTAAGTGCGGATTAATTTCGATTAAGCGCAGCGTCGCTATCAGTTCGGATGTCGCCCCGGTCTTGCAGAGTATCTTTCTAATTTCGCTTCTTTAATGTGACAAAACACCGTATTTCCATATTAGGACCGAACGCCGCATTTTTGCCGTCCATATACTGCAATTGCAAGCTTTATTCACCAATCTGCAGCTTCCAGTCTGCCTGGTCAACAGCTTAGACCGTGTTTAGGTAGAAATTCAAGTTCAGTGAGTTCTGCGTGCAAATTATGAAAAAAATTGCAAAATTTTATGTACACGGGTCATTTTCGGTATCGCGCAATGTGCTTATTGTACCGGTAAAACAAATTCAAACGGTCACACTAAAGTTTTCGTAAAAAGACACAAAAAGGTCGGAGAAAGGTCTTAGGTGCGGCATATAATTTGACTTTATCTGTGTCCAGCAATGTACATTCGCTGGTCACCTTGCATAGATAACGTTATCTATCAAATTGATCTCTAATTGACCTCATGAGACCTTGAGTGACCGAAAGACACCAGGGTATTTGTTTGAATTAAGAGCAAAAAAACGATGCTATATACAATTTAGTCGGTCGTCTGATTACTGATCACCGACAGCGCCTACAATATTTGCACATGTCCAACCAATGCGCAGCCTTTCTTGACTCAGTAGCTACGAAGATGTAAAATGGACTCCAAAATATTTGTGTGCTGGTGTCAACGAGCTCGAGGTGATCCAAAGAAGGCACTTGACGTTACAATAAAAGACTCGATAATAATATAGCAGTAGACAATGTTTGGGGATGCAAGTGGCATTGCAAGCGCTGATAGGCGATGGTAAGATGGAGGAGAATCTAGAATCAGCTGCATGAATATTTCTGTGTTGTCAAAATAAATTTTGAGATGGAAGAATGTTGCCATCTGTGTGATTATGATTGGATGAGATAAGAGTAGGTGTCGTCAGATTTAAATAAATTCTGAGTTTAGTAAAAGTCCGTAAAAATGAAAGACATTAGTATAGGTCATATTTTCATTTTTTGTAGTGTGGGAAGCGTTGTGCACTGAGTTCATACCCGTGACGACGCCATATCGCCTACACATACGTATTTCCTGTGTAAAATCAACGTTTATACCAGTGCATCACTAGTTATGAAGGGCACAAGACCAGGAAATGCATCGGATCAGGGTTCTGTTCGATTCATCCTGAGTCGACAAGAAAGATGACCAAACGATTTTCTTCATTCTCCCTCAAACTAAATTGTGATCCGCATCCCTATCTTCACTCTCTACCATCAACTTAACATGTAACGTTACTGATGTAGTAGAATTAAAAGAAATGACATCTGAGGACATAACTATGACGATTTAGGAACACTTTGTATTTTTTTCAATAACGCAAAATATTTGTTGAAGACAGCTGATAACTACACTTCTATAAAACGGGACCTGAGTCTGTTACGTTTCTTGGTCTATGTTTCCATATATCCTGCTACCTAAACCTCGCAGCTGTCAGCAACACGTATGACCATTCTCAATCTAAGGTGCAGCAGAAGGTACTTGATAGCTAGCTAATTAGTCATACTTTACCATAATGAACAAGGTCATCCTAATCGATATCATCAAACAACAAGCGAATATTATAAAGCTACAATATTGTTTTCCTGCATTTTTTTGCATCATCTAACCTGCATCCGCTGCCATCGTTATCACTAAAAAATGGAATTTTTGGTATACTTTCAAACAGATGCACTGTCAGCGAAAAAGTACCTGTGTCGCCAAAGAAGGCCACATCACCGTCACGAGTTGTTTTTGCATGATCGAACTCGTTGTGATTTTATTATATCCATACGACGATATAATTGACAGTGCATATTACAAGAGCCACGTCATCGAACTTTGATCATACTCGTGTCCTTTCTATATCATTTAGAACGTTAGAGCCCATATGGTGACCTCACGCGACTCCACCCTGCTTATTCCACGGGTGTAATAAGCCATATATTACCTTTTGGACCTCTATGCACTTCATCTCCACAAAAAATATGTTTAAATCAACACACTTTGTTCTTTGCTTTAGTATGGATTTGGTTTTGGCCAAATGTTGTGTATGCATCTGGTCAACACGGTTGTAAGTAGGTCACATTTACTTATGGTAATCTTAATATGGTGGACAAATGTGGTCATTTCGGATGCGTGACAAGTTTAGTTGACCATTCATCTTACCAGGTCACTAACTTCGGTAAATTCTTCACAACCCTGCGTGTAGTTGAGGTTCAGCAACAGCGTACTTACAGTGGCACATAATTTTTTTTGTGTCATACATCAATATAGGATGTAAGACATTGTACTTACGCAAGATCTCCTCAAATGAACGTATGGGCTTTTGGTATTAATGCCCTATAATTGGGAGATGTGGATAGCACCTTAATTTGGTTAACGACTATCAATAAGGAATCATTATATTCAGTGGGATATGATATTACCGAACTGGGGTTCCGAAAACACCTTTTGATTTTTAGTAGATGTTTTCTGCGACTGACTTATGTACTTGTTCAACTCTATCAAACCCATCAGCTTTCTCATACCTTGTTTTTTGTCCAGCTCTATTCAGGTTGGACAATCAATTCGTTAACAAAGGCAAGGCTAAAGAATCATGGGACGCCTTCGATCTGTTCGCAGATTCGTTATG